TCAAGGGAGGTGTATATTCTAGCGCGGATCCCATTTCTCCCCTACTCGTGGGAGGCCAGCCCGGGATATCTACAGGAGATGGGGAGAGCTCCCCACTGCCCCTGGTACCCGCGCGCTGCAGCGTCTCCTTCCCGTTCTCCACGTATCTGCGGAGCATCTCCACGCACTTGCCCTCCAGGTAGGCTCTCCATTGCTCCGCCACATTGGCCGCCTCCCACTTGCGCTGGGTGATCTGAGCCGCCGTGTCCGCGGCGGTTAAGGAGCTCAGGTCCTCGTTCAGGGCGAGGTAATCCTTGCCGTCGTAGGCTGACTGGAAATACCCGCGGAGGAAGCGCCCGTCTGGCCCCACTTCGCAGCCGTAGATCGTCTGGTAGGTGTGAGACCCTGGCCCCGCCTCCGCGGTCAGCCCCGCCCCCCGAGCCCCCCAGCCAACAACCAACCCGCGGGGATTTTGACCTAAACTGAAAATGCAGGGGCTCTCTCCCGTGGAGGGTCTGGGCGGGTCCCGCAGCCTCGGAGTGGACCTTGGACCTGAAGACTCGTGGAGACCCAGGCCGTCCGTGGGCGATAGGAAGGGGTCGTGACCTGCACCCCGGGCCGGGGTCACTCACTGGCCTCGCTCTGGTTGTAGTAGCCGGGCAGGATCCTCAGGCAAAATCGGGAACTCTGTGCGTCAGCCTGGAAGTCCGTAGTCACCTCCTCCCAATACTCCGGCCCCTCCTGCTGCATCCACGGCGCCCGCGGCTCCCCTCTCCCACTCGCGGCGTCGCTGTCGAACCGCACGAACTGCATGTCGTCCACGTAGCCCACGGCGATGAAGCGGGGCTCCCCGCGGCCGGGCCGGGACACGGCGGTGTCGAAATACTTCAAGGAGTGGGAGCCTGGGGACGACGAGGGGCTGAGGCCCGCCCGACCCTCCGCCCGGCGCAGCTCCCCGGGTCCTGCGTCCCCGCCGGGCGGTCCCCTCGCTCCTCCCCACAAAGGCCGTTTCCCCCGAGACCCGGCACTCACCCGCCCGAGTCCCGGTCAGGGCCAGAGCCCCCAAGAGCAGCAGGAGGAGGGTTCGGGGCGTCATGACCGCCATCCTCGGCGTCTGGGAAGAATCTGAGTCTGGGTGGGTGAGTGGGGACTTTAGAACCGGGACCGCGGCGACGCTGATTGGCTTCTCTAGAAACCCCACACCCAGTGGAAGTGGGAACTGGGTCCGCGTCTTGAG